CAAAAACGCATATTGCAACGACCCTGTCAGTGTGTGTGTGTATGTTTGTGTGTGTGTGTGTGTGTTGTGTGTGTTCGTCTGTCCGGGTGTTTCAACTCGCCAACCACGCAAGCTTTGAGGCTGAAATTTTGCCAGTGTGTTCCCTAGCCAAGTGCCACCCCAGGACCGCAGTATCAACTCTCAAGCACGTCTGGGCCCCGCGTAGCACTTGAAAGTTTTGGCGCGAAAATTGATAACTCGGGAACGAGGAAAGCTAGAAAGCTTAAACCTTGGGAGAATGTTCGCTACCTGTGTATGACAAAAAGATTTCAAATTCAGCTGCCCAGGACTGCCCGAGGCTTACGTACGGCCACGTAAAAATTATGGCGGGAAAATTCATAACTCGGGAACGAGAAAGGCTAGAAAGTTGAAACTTTGGGGGAATGTTCCCTATTTATGTGCGGCCAAAAGTTTTCAAACTCAGCCCCTTAGGACAGCCCGGGGCTCACGTATGAGCACGTGAAAATTTTTGGCGCGAAAACTACTAACTCGGGTACGCGAAAAGCTAGAAAGCTGAAACTTTAGGGGAATGTTTCCTACGCATGTACGACCAAAATCAGGTGTTCAGAAGCGCCCGGAACTCACGTGCGGGCACGTGGAAATTTCGGCGCGAAAATCACTAACCCAGGAACGGGAGAAGCTAGAATGCTGAAACTTTGGGGGAATGTTCCCTACTCATCTACGAGCAAAATCAGGTGTTTAGGAGCGCCTGGAGCCCACATACGAGCGCGTGGAAATTTTGGCTCGAGAATCACTAACCCGGGAACGGGAGAGGCTAGAAAGCTGAAACTCTGGGGGAATGTTCCCTACTCATGTACAAGCAAAATCAGTTGTTTAGGAGCGCCCGTGGCCTACATACGAGCGCGTGGAAATTTTAGCGCGAAAATTACTAACCCGGGAACGGGAAGAGCTAGAAGGCTTAAACTTTAAGGGAATATTCCCTACTCATGTGCGAACAAAATCGGGTGTTTAGAAGCGCCCGGGGCTCACGTACGGGTACGTGGGAGTTTTGGCGCAAAAATCACTAACCCGGGAACAAGAAAAGCTGGACAGCTGAAATTTTGCGGGAATGTTCCCTACCTATCTAGAAACAAAATCACTTGTTTAGAGACGCTCGAGGCCCAAGTACGCCACATGTGAGAGTTTTGGCGCGAAAACTACTAACCCAGGAGCGGAAAAAGCTAGAAAGCTGAAGTTTTAAGAAAATGTCCCCTGCTCATGTACGAGCAAAATCAGGTGTTTAGAAGCGCCCAAGCCCACGTACGAGCGCGTGGAAATTTTGGCGCGAAAATCACTAACCTAGGAACGAAAAAAGCTAGAAAGCTGAAACTGTAGGGTTATGTTCCCTATTTATGTATGACCAAAAGATTTTAAATTCAGCTCCTTAAAATTTGGTGGGAAAACTGCCAATTCGGGAACGAGATAAGCTGAAAGCTTTAATTTTAAGGGAATGTTTCCTGCTCATGCGCA